GGCCCCAAGATTTCAAAGTCAGAAATAAAATGACATGATTACTGTATTCCATAGTCTGCCTCTTTAACAAATATATGACATTTACATCTCCCATAGAAAGTTCCTTTGTGAAATACATAAATAATTTTAAAAAGTAAAAAAGATAAAAAAGTTCCTTTATATCCCTTCCCAGACTTGACTTCTCTCTAGATAACCACCATTTTGATTATTTTCAGTTTATATTCATATTGTTTGTTCTAGAACTTCATATAATCAAGATTATATTGTGTGATTCCTGTGTATGACTTCTTTTCCTTAGCATAATGTCACACTTGTTGCATATCTCCTTTTATTGCCAAGAAATATTCCATTGTGTGAACATCCCACAGCTTGTTTATTCATTTTTTGCTGATGGCCTTTAGTTTCCAGTGTTTGGTTATTGTAAATAAAGCTACAGTGAACATTCATCTTTTATTGATGTTTTTCATTTCCCTTGAGTAAATATTAGGGGTGCAATGCTTGGTCAAAAGGTTATTAGCATTTTTAAGTCTTTAAGAAATTGCCAGTTTTCTGGAGTTAGTTGCCATTTTACATTCCCGTAAGCATTGTATGAGCATTGTGATTATTTGACTTTCTTTTTTAAAATTTTTTTTTAGTTGTAGATGGACATAATACTTTTATTTATTTATTTATCTATCTTCTTTTTTAATTAGTTAATTTATTTTAATTAGGTATATGTGAAAAGAGAATGCATTTTCATTTATTGTACATGTGGTGCTGAGGATCAAACCCAGTGCCTCACACATGCTAGGCAAGTGCTCTACCACGGAGCTACAACCCCAGCCTATGAATTTTCCCTTCATCTACTTAAATTATTTTATAAATCTAGGAGTTTTTTTTTCTTTTTAAATTCAGATTTTTCTTTGACTTGTCTAAAGGCACTGTTAGCTCCATCTTTCTTCTTGATGGTCTTCCTTTGCTATGTTTTTATGGTTCTTTACTTCTCTGGTTCTTCCACATTTGTCTTCCCAGACTCTTTTACCTGTACTGAATGGCAGTCTCTACAAAGGATTTGCACCAGCCTGCTTTTTCCTTTGGTAACCTCATCCAAACCCTTCCCTTCAGTTGCAGACCTCATTTGCTTCTCCAGTGCTAATACTTTTCCACTTGAAAAGCAATTGAAAATTGCTATTTAAATGTGCTTCATCTTCCCCCCAAATTTGGTATGTTCAAAACATTCTCATTTCTTTCTGTGGATCAGTTGCTAGCACCTTATCTTCCTAGACACCAAGAATAAAACTTGGCATTTTGTTTGGTTTTTTTTTCTTTTACATATTTTCTTGGTGCATTATAGTGGTACATAATGATGGGATTTATTGCTGCATATATTGTACAATGTAACAATATATTTTGGCCAATATCACTTTCATTTTATAAAATTCCCTTTAGTTTCCCACATCTAATTAGTTGCCAAGTCTAGTAGTTTTAACTTCCATGATGTCTCTTCTTTCTTGTTTGCCTTTTCTACTGTCACTATCATAATTCAGGCCCTCTGTCAGTTTTTTTGCAGTGACTTCCTCCTTATGTGTTCACTACCGTAAAACTGTAGAAAGAGCAGGGACTTTGCAATTAGACAGACCTAAGGTCTAATTGAGAAGATGGCCCTTACTAGCTATCTGACATAGCAAAATACTTACCTCAATTTACCAATGAAAAATTTCAGGCACAGAGCAGTTAGTCATTCCTGTCTGATGAAGTATTCCATTTTGAAGGATAAATGAGACGATGTGTGCTTAGTGAGAAGGCACTCAGAAAGTATTGTTTCTCTCTTCCTACTTCTAATCTCTTTAGTTGTAGATGGATACAATACCTTTATTTTATTTTTATGTGGTGCTGAGGATCGAACCCAGGGCCTCTGCATGTGAGGGGAGCACAGTACTGCTGAGCTACAACCCCAGCCCTCTAATCTCTTTAAAACCCATTAATAAATTAATATGCTTAAGCATTGCCTTAACCATATCAGTCTCTTGCTCTTCAGTGTTACTCCATTATGTAATTTCCCATAATTCTTCGCCTTTTACTTCAGACTATTAATTTCCTTGAGTTCCCTTTCTGATTTTATTTCCCCCTACTCTTTACAAACAACCCTTTGAGCCAAACAAAACCACTAGCAATGCCCTATAGCAGAATGGTTAAGAGCATGAGTTCTGGCCTGGGATATTGGTCAGTAATAGAGCACTTGCCTAGCCTGTTCAAGGCTCCCTGTTCCATCCTCAGGACTGCCAGTAACAAAGAAAGGGAGGGAAGAAGTGGAAAGGTGGGAAGTGCATGGGGCGGGGTCTAAAGTTAGGCTGCCTGGAATTAAATTTCAGCTTACTTACATTGTGTCCATGAGCAAATAAGTTTATTTCCCCAAACCTTAGTTTTTTCTTCTGAAAAAAACAAAACAAAAACAGGATAATTATAGTGCCTACTGCTTTGGGTTGTAGGAGAGATGAAATGAGCTCATACATTCAAAGCACTTGGTGCCTGGCACTGAAATGAGCTCATACATTCAAAGCACTTGGTGCCTGGCACATGGAGAGTAGCCACTTTTAGTGGTAGTGGTAGAAGTAGTAAGTGTTGAAGCTTTTATGAGTTTCTCCCATTTCCATTTCCATGCTCATGTTCCATGCTCTGCATGGAGTATGATTCCTCTCCTTTATGCCTGATTACATTTTATCCATCTTCAAAGATTTTCCTTGTTCTTCCTCACTTTATTTCCTCTTCAGCATTCCTGAAGTCGCTCTACCAATAGCCCTGTTTCCAAGGAATTTCATCTTGCTTCTTTAGGAACTTTTACAGACTTTGTAAATCATTGGTATATTTTGAGAGAAATTTAATTTTGTTATGAAAATGCCATTGGGCTTAATGAGGCTAATTAAGGAGAAGGCATTGTGGCAGAAGACAGTAGCAACAAAATAAAACTCATCCAGGTGACAACTGCTTTGGATCCAGCAAAACTATTTTTTTCCCTAACTGCTTCTCATTTGTTACTGTTCCACATGCACTCTGCACCTGATAGTGCCTAGTATGGTGCCAAACAAAATTGTACAATAAGCATTTTTGGATAACAAAATTTTACTGAAGTAAAAAATGACAGTGATAGCTAGTTTAAAATGTGGTCAGATATCTAATTCAGTTATTAAAGTGGGAAATTGTCTTGTAGGTGTGTCCCCCCCACCCCCCGCTTTGTGTTGTGTGTAGGTGAAATTTTCTTGATAACTGTTCTCAGAATGCAAGCCACAGATCTTGGGAAGAGGGTGAGGGTAGAAGCAGGGAAATTGCCACTTTAGAATTTCTTTCCCACAGTGATTTGGCAGAGTGCCAGCCTGTCCTTGAGCACAGTACATACCTTGTCCTTGTTAAAGGAGGCCTATCATTTGCTTTATGCCTTTAAAAATAGTTTTGGTCATTCTGAAATAATTCATAAATGGTATACTATTATTATAAAGAGAGTGCTCTAGGGCCAAAGGCAAGTGTTAGAAATTCAATAAATATTTAATTTATATAGACTTAGTATTCATTTCTTAAAGAGATATTCATCAACACTTGAAAATGATAATATCCTTCTGTTGAAGACTAACCAGACCTAATTGACTTATATAGTTTAGTTATAGTGCAGAATATTATTTGCTTTTTTTTTTTAGTAAGGTAAACTCATTTTGTATACTTTAGAAGTGTGATTTACATAATATATTTAGTTGTCAGTTGGTTTTATTCTTGAGGCCCATATTAAAAATTTCTTTTTAAAATTAAGGTCAGTTTCCTCTTGCTCACTGAGAGGGGGTGGAGAGGGAGGGAAGCTGTAGAATATGACTAATTGGTAGAACAATTAGGTAGGCTTTAAAATGTGAGGTAGTTTTTTTCCACTGACAAAAGACTTGGTACCACTACTTACAGAGATATTTGATTGCCTATTTTCATATTAAAACCTCAAGGAAATTGATTGGGAGGCCAGGCATGGGCACAAAAGAAATTTAAGGAAATGTTATTCCATATGTTCTGCTGAACTTGAAAAATAAATACTTTTTTGTGATATGTCTATTTTTGATTTCATAAACTGGGGAAGCTTTTCTGCTGTAATGGCTGAATATAATTTGGAAAGATTTAAGTCCATCCTTATATTAATGTTCCACCTCATTAACTTCATTGTTGGGCTTTTACACTTCAGTGGTTTAAATAAAATAATCAAAATGTGATTCTGTTGTCCTCTCTTTGCTGTCTCTCTTCTGAGATTTAATGGTTATGTATTTAATTTTGTGTTTTCATTTAGACTATTGTTAATTCTACTAGTGCAAAATGATGATGAAGGGAAGCTGTTATAAAACTGAAGCCCTGAGATGAGGGAATATATTTGTTAAGATAAAATGATAACTTCTGCAGCTGGTATTTTATCATTTTTGCCTTCAAGTGGTATTCAGAGGACCAAGAATCTCACAGCTATAAGAGCACATTCTGTTATGAAGTTCTGATTGATGAATATATATGTGCTTTCACATATATCCAGTGATATTTATAGCCCTGAGATCCAAATAAGGGGAAGCTTTGCTTAAAAGCTTCTTAAAAATGTTTTCTAATCATTTGTAGAAAAAAGCAGGAATTATGTGATGAATTTTCAAGCAAAGTCACCTTGGTGATATTTGCACTTACTTGCATATAGAAGACATAGTAAGACAGTTTTTCCTAACTGATTTACTGCCAGATGTGAGTGCTTATTACAATTATATATCCCAAATGCAAGTTAGATGTCTTTGTTAAAAAATATAGAAAAAGGAAGTTAATTTGATTTGAGTTCAGGGGAATTAAGCTTTCTTATTGTCAAACATTTTGCATTTTAAAGAACATCCAATTGCTAAGATACATTGTATAAAATTACTTGGGTTTGACCCATTTAAATTGAGTAATAAATTTCTGTTTAGCCTTTAGTTCAACTACACGAGATATAGTATTCTTTCCTAACCATTTTTTTTATTTTCCAGCTCACCAGCGATTGGAACCAGCAACTCTGTCAGGGATTGTGGCATTTATACTTAGTCTTTTATGTGGAGCTCTGAATTTAATTCGTGGCTTTCATGCTATAGAAAGTCTCCTACAGGTACTGTGCTATTTTTACAATTTCAGTTGACTGTACCTATTCATTCTACTTGTTATATAATTGATTTGAATTGGTTTGGGTATTAGTGCAGCTCACAGTGCATGCTCAAAGTCTGTGTCCTTTATATCTACCCTGTTCTCCCCTCAAGAACACTCATTTCTAGTTGACTTTGTCTTAATCAGCACTTGGTTATTTATCATCTACTCTGATAGGCATTGTTGATAGGCATGTTTTAGAACACCAAGATATATGTGACATGAGTCCTGTAGTCTCACAGATTAATCTGAATCGGGGAGGCAAAGAAGTCCATGAGTAATTGCCAAATAAATAGAGTTGGGAAAAGGAGAGTTCAGTGTTAGGGTAGGAGAAGAAGACTTTGTGGAAGAGAGGTGAGCTGGTACTGGAAGGAACTGAGTAGGCAAAGAGTAGTGGAAGAATGAAGGAGGCATGCATGGCTAGTGTTTGTATCTACTTCTATATATTTCTACTTATTTATCTATTCCTTTCTTGGTTGGTGGTCTTCTAAAACCTGAGCTACCTTGGAGACCACTGATTTTTTTTTTCAGATATTACCAACTCCAATGGAGTTACTTCCAGAGACTGTAGCTATCAGAATATATTGACTTTTTCCTCTTATGCTTTTTGTATACTCTTTGAAATTTCCTTTATTAGAGTTGAGCACATTTGAGACTACACAGCTTTTATTCCTTGTTTCTATTCACTTTCTCTGCTGAGTTCTTGACACTTCCATGTTGTGAATCAGATTTTTCTCTCTTTCTCTCAGGTCAGCCTTAAGTTAAGAATATCATTTGTAAAAACCCACACAACATACTATATTTTATTTCCTTTCTCTCTCTCTCTCTCTCTCTCTCTCTCTCTCAGTAGGGGTTTGAACCCAGGAGTGCTTAACTGCTGAGCCACATTTCCAGCCCTTTTTATTTTTTATTTTGAGATAGGTCTTGCTACGTTGCTTAGGGCCTCACTAAGTTTCTGAGACTGGCTGGCCTTGAACTTGTGATCCTCCTGCCTCAGCAGTCAAAGGATTACAGGCATGTGCCACCACTCGGGGCCTCCATCTTTTTTATTGATGCATTATAGTTGTACATAATGGTGGGATTTATTATTACACAAACATACATGTAACATATATATATATATATATAAACATATGTATATGCATATATAATAATGTAATTTGGCCAGTATCATTCCCCAGTATTTCCCCATTCCCTTTCCTCCTCCCTCCCCTACTGTATTCTGTTTTTAAAGTACTGTTAATTTGGGGGATACTCAGAGGGTACATTCTGTATACCTTCTGAATGTACTCACTCCCCTAAAGACAATAGTAGACATCACATGTTCTGGTGATAGAACTGTCCCTAAAATGGCTCCATGGGGCTTGTCATTACTTCTTAGTTCTTCCAAACATTCTTTGTCTATAGGTAAAGCCTCTGTCCCCTTTCAAGTAGAGGATGCTGGTTACTATTCCTTGGCCTTCCTATCCCCTGCCCCTCAGCTAAGTCAGATTTATTCCATCAGAAGTAGTTCAATTTTGAGCCAATTAAACAAGTTGTCCAAAAGAAGAAACGGGAGTAGTCTAGAAACTATTGATTGGAAAAGCTACTAAATAAGGTGGACTTTTGTTTTTTAAATTGTATTAATGAAATGGAAAGAAACTGTAGTAGCAGTATGTGAAGAGTTGATTTTTGTTGGTGGAGCAGGCCTGGGTAGAGAAAAACTTCAATACCACAGAACCTCGCTTATATCTCTGACTCATAAGGGCCTTGGAACCTGGGACTCAGACCATATTACCTTTAAGTTAAAATGCAGACAAAGTTATTGTATCCCACAAAGTTGGTTAATGGGAACTATAATTTTTTTTTTCCAAGGCACTGATATATCCTCTCTTCTTGGGCTGATTTCTCCCTTCTCTCTCCTGATTCATGACTTAAAAGCTAAGGAAAGTGAATAAACTACAACCTTCTATTGCTTTTGAGATGTTACAATTAGCTGAAGCCTGCCTTGATTTCATAATTTTCCATGCTCCCTCTTATCAGTAATATCTTATCTCATTGTAATTGATACAATTTTAGGTTTTATTATTTTTTCATTTTTATTTTTTGGGGGGGTGTACAGGGATTGAATTCAGGGGCACAAAGCCACATCCCCAGCTCTATTTTGTATTTTATTTAGAGACAGGGTCTTGCTGAGTTGTTTAGGGTCTTGCTGAGTTGCTAAGGCTGGCTCTGAACTCTTAGTCCTCCTGCCTCAGCCTCCCTCGGCTGGGATTACAGGTGTGCACCACTGTGCCCAACAGTTTTAGGTTTTAGAAGAACAATAATCTGATTAAACTAATTGCTACTTACATGGAACTGATAGTTCTGAGATTTCTTAGTGTATTTACATTCTACAAAGAGAACTTTATAGACCAATATCATGAACATAGATGTAAAGATACTCAGCAATATATTAGCAAATCAAATTTATCAATGTATAAAAATGATTTTATAACACAACCAAGTGGGCATTATGCCATGTCTGCAAGACTGGTTCAACATTTGAAACCTCAGATGTCATATCAACAGTCTAAAGAAGGAAAAGAATGACATGACTATATTAATAGATGCAGACAAAACATTTGACAAAAATCCAATCCCCACACGTGAAAAAACTTGCAGCAAACTAGGAATAGAGAGAACTTCCTCACCTTGGTAAGAAACATCTGCAAAACCCCCTACAGCTAGCATCATCCTTAGTGATGAGAAACCAGATGCTTTTTCCTCTAAGACAGAAACAAGGCAAGAATGTTTCCTTTTACCACTCCTATTCAGCATTGTACTGGAAGTCACAGTTGATGTAATAAGACAGAAAGAGGAAATGAAGGTATTCAGATTGTAAAGGAAGAAATAAAACTGTCTTTGTAGATGACATGATTGCTATGAGGAATTGAAGGAAAAAAATAAAACAAAAGCCCTGCAGCTCATAAGTCATTATAGCAAGGTCACAGAATATGAGGTTAAAATATCCAAAAGCTGTCCTAGATGACATCAAAGAACAACTGAGGTTTGAAATGAAAAACAATACCATTTGTAATGGCACCCAAAAAAAGAGTACTTAAGAATAAGTCGATCCATATAAAGACCACTATAAAAATCTGATAAAAGAAATATCTGAGGTTTTCGACTGACCGCAGCTCATTCAGCCATGGATCAGGTAATTTCAGGCTGCAATTCGCCTGCGGCTTGCAGACAGATTGCTAGGGTTCAGCGCCTGGGTGCTTCTTAGAACCTGATCCTATCGGAGCGAACACCGAGCGCGGGGTGGCCGAGTTCCGGCTCCCGGAACCGTCCCGGAACCGCCCTGGCCCAGGGCTGCGGAGCCTGCGGAGGCTGCTTCTTGGACCCTGCGCCTATCAGAGCATACACCAAGCACTAAGCAGCCGAATTCCGGCTCCCGGAACTGAGCCCGCGGGACTGCTTCTTGGAGCTTACACTTATAGGAGCTTACACAGAGCACGGAGCGGCCGAGTTCCGGCTCCCGGAACTTCCCTGGCCCGGGGCTAGGAGCCCGCGGAAACTGCTTCTCGGTCCGGGTCCTGCTGAGGGCCGGTCAGGACTCACCCGTTGCTTTGGTTGCCCGGCAAGGGGAACGAAATGCTGCCATTCGCATAGGATACCAACATGGCAGAGATCTGATGTCAGCAGAAAGCGGCGGAGGAGAGAACTTCATCAATACCAGCGGTGACATAAGCAGTTGGTCTCCTGGTAGGGGGGGTGAGGCACAGTCACCCGAGTCTCCTCAATTTGTCGTCGAGCCAGAGGGGAGGAGCCGGGCCGCCGCCAGCGCCCAGAGCAGGCCCAGCGGCTCGCCAGCGTGGTGACCGCGTGACCCCAATTGGAGAGGGGGCGGAGCGGAGCCGCCACCTGCACCCGCAAGGTGGGCAGACCTGCGACCCAGTGGTACATGGGCGTGGTAGGAGGGGCAGGGCAGAGCCGCCGTTCGCGCTGGCAAGGTAAACAGACCTGTGACAGCCTGGCGGGTCAGGCCCAGTGGCCTGCCAGTGTGGTACACACGTCACCCCAACTGGAGTAGGGGCAGAGCAGATCCTTCTCCCACGCCCGGATCAGGCCCTGCCGGTGTGGTGGTCACGTGACCCCAATTGGAGTGGGGGCGGAGCGGAACCGCCACCCGTGCCCGCAGGGTGAGCAGACCAGTGATCAACCTGCAGATCAGGCCCAGGGGTCTGCAGGCGTGGTAGGAGGGGCAGGGCAGATCCGCCGCCCACGCCTCCAAGGTAAGCAGACCTACAACAGACCGGCGGATCAGGCCCAGGAGCCTGCCGGCGTGGTACAAACACCACCCTAATTGGAGTAGTGGCAGAGCAGAGTCGCCGCCCGTGCCAGGAACAGGCCCAGCGTCCTGCAGGCGGGGTAGTCACGACACCCCAATTGGAGTAGGGGCAGAGCAGAGCCTCCACCCGTGCCCGAAAGGTGGGCAGATCTGCGACCGACCAGCGGGACAGGCCCAGTGGCCTGCCGGTACGACAGACACGTCACCCCATTTGGAGTAGGGGCAGAGTAGAGCCGCCTCCCGCGCCTGCAGGGTAGGCAAACCTGCAACCGACCGGCGGATCAGGCCCGGTGGCCTGCCGGCGTGGTACACTCGTCACCCCAATCGGAGTAGGGGCAGAACAGAGCCGCCGCCAGCTCCCAGAACAGGCCCAGTGACCTGCCGGCGTGGTAGCCACGAAAACCCAATTGGAATAAGGAGAGAGCAGAGCCGCCGCCCGCACCTGCAGGAAAGATACGCAAGCAGTATGAAAAGACAAGGAAAGAAAGGACCACAAGCAATGCAGGTCAACGCAACTTTAGAAGAGGTAACAGCTGCAGCAGATGGAATGTCAGATAAAGAATTCAGGATATACATGCTTCAAATGATCTGGAGTATCAAGGAAGACATTAAACAGCAAAATCAGACAATGAAAGATCACTTCGACAACG